GGGGGGGGGGCGCAGGGGTGTTAAGCCTTGGGATCAGTACTATCATTTAAAATATTTCTTGTTTTCCCAACCATCAGCCTTACCCAGACTGCTTAAGGGCAGTAAAGTTTAAAATATTTAGTATGCACTCCAAAACAGTAGACCCACCGTGCTAATGCTACCCCGGTCTTTGTGGAGTCCTACACCAACTTCAGTGACACACTTCTTGACATCTAAAGCAAGAAACAAGAAGTAAAGGAGATGTTTAGTATCTGCATATTTGCATTAATAAACATTGAGAATTTCCTCTTAGTAACTCAGGTGAATGACTGACACTAGTCCGCTCTTAAGCGGCTTGTCAGTTGTGAAAGAAGTAATTATAGAAAGGTCACTTGCAACATCATAACTTAAGGCCGTGTCAGCGCTTCCAAATTAAAAGCCTTATTTACAGGGGCTTAAAACTAAGGAGTAACAGTTTGATTTGGGATAGGGATGCAAAGGGGATTTGAAACTGGGTGTGATATTTTCCTCCTTACTCGATTTAAAGCAAAAGAACTCCACTTGCGTCATTCCTTTAACTGTAGAAATCGTTAATGATGAATCAACATGGTATTGACTCCCTTGAGACTCCAAAATGTCTTCATGTTTCATGGCCTCATTTTTTAAATGATTTCACAGGTGATTACCTGGAAATATCAGCTAATGGCCTTTGCATGTTTAAGAAACAGTGACCAAAATTTCAAAATTTGGTGAATGTTTACTGTTTTTGCCCAACAAGAGCTTTTTACAAATAATTTTAAGTGTATTTTTTGTAGCTTGACCTGACTTACATGGAAATTGAAAGTATTCCCTTTGAATAAATATGACATGCTTTAAATAAAGATAAATACAACTAGATTAGGAATTGGATTAATTTTGAAAGAGCTAGTGCACATATTTGATGGGTTTTTTTACATTTATTTTTATTTCATTCAGATTTAAAGATAACACCATGGAAATAAATCAATACAAAATATTAAAGCTACATAAAGTAAAGTCCAAGTTAGGGTTTGGGTACATACCATGTTTCATTTGTAGCAGTGTAGTCTTGCTACAATGATCTAAGTTCTCATAAGGACATAATGTCATTGTCAATGCGTATGGCATATGCATTTACTTTGAATGTTATGATTTCATCCCACCTCTCCTCTTCTTTATAAACAGTCCTTCGGAGTTAATATAAGATAGTCTAAATATTGTGAAATTGTATATGTTGTTATAGGGATAATAAAATATCTCAAAGCAGAATCCCAAACTGAACCAAAAAACCTTGAGTGGATAGTTAACAAAAATGGGGAAAAAGAAGAAGAAGAAAAAGAAAAACCAGATCTTTTACATATGTATTGCTTGTTTTTTGGATTATTCTGAATTCCTTATGACTACAGTATGTCCATTCTGTTTTTAAAATGTCCAGTTTCAATTACTGCATGAAGAACAAGCAGTGAGATGTGCAATTTTGTGCAAACTGCTGGTAATTTTGTTCTTACTAAGATTTATTATGAAGACAGCAAGTCATGCTGATGGTTGCTATGGAGATTTCCAGCAGGAGCTAGCACTAACTGGATGGCTTACTGGGAAGCCTGTAATCATCAGTCTTAATTGACAAAAGCAGGCAGGCATGCTTTGCTTTCACACACACACGCGCATAAATGTGTCCTGTATTTTTATGAAATTGGACTGTTTGTTCGGTGCGGCTGAGGCTGAAGAAAAAAGCCGCAGTTTCTTTGGAATCAGCCGTCAGTAACTCATGCATCTTTGATTCTCTGAACTGCATCAAAAACATTTTTTGTATATTGAAATGCCCGTGTTGGAATCCCATCCTGAAATGCAAAGGGCAGAGGGATGTCAGGAAACCTGGCCTCGATCAGCACTGACTTGACCACGTGCAGCAAGTGCAGGACTTCTTTAGTGTCATCCTTGTTATCCATTGCAGAGAGCTAGCTAGTGACAGAGCTGGGTCCATGCACTCTCCCTTTTCAGAGGAAGCATCAATTCAGAGGCTGGAAGATGCTTTCAAAGTGTGCCAAGTTCTTTTTTTGACCAAATTTCTAGTTCTGGGTTGTACTGGAATCATTCTATGCAACACTAAGTCACGTTTGAATGCTATTTTCTTTTTCTTTTTTTGTGAATGAAGTCAGGAAAAAAAAACCCCTCCTAGTGACAATATATTTTTTTTTAAAGTCAAACAAGGACAATTAAGATTTTTTACTTTTTTGTATATATATCAGCATATTTTTTTCACTTTTTTCTCAATTTTTTTGTTTCTTCTAGCTGGCCAAAAATGCTTAAATGTGGTGACAGCTCTTAACATCTCTGGATGATTGCTTATTAATGCATTCATCAACTTCTAAGATTTCTTTGAAGATTCATATTGCGGTAGGCAATGGCAGAGGCATTTTAACTTTTTTTTTAATTTCATACATCTGCTGAGTCAACAGAAGTTGAAGCTGCTTCTTTGTTCTAGGCCTTGTACAGTGGAAACAAGCTGAAAAAATGAGCAAAAGCACAGTGTGTGTGTGTTTACAAATGCCAGGGATTTCTAACGTTGTCATTATTTTATGCATACAATGAGCAGCAAACAGCTAATTTTTTTCTTGGTTCAAACTAGACACAAGAGTTTCTATGATGAATGTTGAGCTAGTTCTTTATCATTACACTTTAAAGGGATAGTATCCAGGGGCAATACAAGTGCTGCTTCTTTATGATTACCCACATTTCTACATTACATTAACCTTGCTGGAAGAAATAAGGTCCAAGCCAAAGCCTACTGAAGTCACTGGTTGCTTTTCCATTGACTTCAGAAGGGTTTGCATTAAGACTGAGGAATTGATCGTTAGTTGTCTGGATGCTTGAGTGTTCAAATGGTCAGACTGTGGGGTATTGTAGCTGGTAACCAGCCAATAGTGACTCTTACTCTAGGGATGATGAAGATGAAGAAAAAGAAAACATCTATTATATTGTAAGCTAGTGTGCCCTATAGAGATTATTTAATTAGCATTTAGTTTCACTGAGATTTCATAAAGATATTAATAGTATTTTTTTATCTCATTATTTGAATCATATCTGGCAATATTTTTCAGTACTTTATTTTCATTGCTGTAGTTTCTCAGTTCCCCAGATTCCATTGTCTATCTACCTAGATATGTACATACCTAAATGTATCACAGAGAAAATTGCATCTGTGTGACTGAAACTTGAAATGGTAATGAAACAGAGAGGAACTTCAGTGTAAGTATCCACCTACGTAACATGAGGGCCCAATCTTCCGTTCCTGTAGTGCCGTGGGTGCACCTGGAATGTGGGAGTGGATGCTCTTTTTGAATAACTAGTTGCCTTTACTAAGAAAGTAGAAAGAATAAGCAAATCCGGATACTCTCTCTTTAAATCATACAATGCATTTTGACGTTTTCTGTATGTTTTGGTTTATTCTTTTAAAAAAAGATTAAAAAATAATATACTGAGGAGCTCAAAAGTTATAATATATATATATATAAGTATATATCCATAACTCAGAATAGGTGATTTGAGAGAAAGCAGTTTTCTTAATTTGTTACCCTGTAAATAAATATACATTTTTGTATATGAATTGAGTTTAAATTATTAATTCCATCTGGCGTCCAAGCATGTGAATGTGAACCTTATTTGACTGTATCTTGTATAAATGTGCAGTGACGTGCTCAGGTGCTCAACAATGGCTGACTAGCGTGTGTGCTGTCATGCTATCAGATGACGTGTACAGCATACCCAATGTTTAAAAAAAACCCTACAAAAATACCTTAAAAAAAAAAAAGAGTAGTCCTTGGAGAAATGTAATGTTTCCACAATGAATGTTGCATGCATTGATGGTGGTTTGTTAATATTCCTTTTTTGTTTGTTTTTTTTATTTTGCTTCCATATTCTCTTGAAAAAACAGACAGACTTGTTCGAAAAGTTGTATAAATTGAAACAAATCCAGTATGAGAACTGTATAAAGAAATGCTTGTAAATCTGTCTCAGTTTTCATTCTATGTATAAATCCATGTCATGGTTTTGTGATTGTATACAGGATGTATCTGGAGAACTTATGCAAACTGTGCTGTATAAAGGCTGTTATCCCAGTCTGACTAATAAATATTTAAAATATCTAGTTTGGTTTCTTCTCCCCACCGAATACCTACATCTGTAGAGGTAAGAATTGTGCCATTGTCAATGCTGTATACAAAACTGATCTGTTGTTCCAAATCCTATGATGCATCATCTCCCACAATTTTTGCAATTCCATCGTTATTTAGTGTTTTCCATCTTAAAAATAGATTGGTTTGCCCTGCACTTCATGAAGCACATTAAAGCTCAAATCCCCAAGAGTAATGTCATTGCCTGGACCTGGATAACTTCTAGCATCTCCCACAGCACACACGTGGGAAGCATAGTGCCCACTCATACTTGGCCATCTCTGTTATAAAACTAAGGTGAAGACATATCCCGAATCTGTTCACCTTAAAAAAAAACAAAAAAACCCCCAAAACCTCAAGAGCCCTTGGTGGTGATAGGAGCAGGCAGAGATAATATGTCGCCCACTGGGTTCCATAGAAGGAGTAGGAAGTTGTCTGCAACTCTTTCCTCCTCTTCCAGTATCTGGCTTTCAGGATAGGTATTCAGTTTTCTCTTGTATCTGACAATCCTGTTGAGATCTGAATCATTCCCCAATCTTTAGAGGGAAGCGACCTCCAGTGAGTGGTAAGTGAAAACTCTCTATGTGACTTCAGATATTACGTGAAAATAATCAGCAGGCTGCCATATCTTGACTTTTCAAGCAAGTTAGGGCAGTCCCACAAGCAGCTACTAAGA